AAAAAAAAAAAAAAAAAAAAAAATGACATAGGGCTAGGCACCTGGCTCAGCACTTTGGAAGGCCAAGGTGGGAGGATCACTTGAGGTCAGGAGTTCAAGACCAACTTGGCCAACATGGTGAAACCCCATCTCTACTAAAAATACAAAAATTAAACAGGTATGGTGGTGCCCCCGCTGTAGTCCCAGCTACTGGCTAGCCTGAGAAACGAAAGTACCTGGAACCAGGGAGGCAGAGGTTGCAATGAGGCGAGATCGCACCACTGCACTCCAACCTGGGTGACAGAGTGAGATTATGTCTCAAGAAAAAAAAGAAAGAGGCCAGATGCGGTGGCTCAGACCTGTAATCCAAGCACTTTAGGAGGCCGAGGTGGGGCAGATCACACGGTCAAGAGTTTGAGACCAGCCTGGCCAACATGGTGAAACCCATCTGTACTAAAGATACAAAAAATTAGTCGGGTGTGGTGGTGGGCGCCTGTAGTCCCAGCTACTCAGGAGGCTGAGGCAGGAGAATCGCTTGAACTCAGGAGGCGGAGATTGCAGTGAGCCATGATCGCGCCACTGCACTCCAGCCTGGGCGACAGTGCGAGATTCCGTCTCAAAAAAAAGAAAAAAAGGGAAAGGAAGGAAAGACATCAATTAGCTCATTGCAGTTCTGGGACAACTAGTTAATGGTAAAATAATGAAGACAACCTCAAAAAATTGAGGTCTACTTTTATGCAGCTCTGAAGAGCTAGCAAAGGATTCTAGGGATTTATCAGTAAGATACCCTGAAGTGACAATGGCAAAAAAAAAAAAAAGTCCCTTTAAGGCAAAAGGACTTTATGTTGAGCATTTACTTAGTCAATAACACACTGAAGTTTAACATATCCCAAATGCCCTGAAAGACAGAAAAGAGAAAATGGCCAATTTTCTTCATGCAACTTCAATGGCACTTATTTACTCAAATTTCTGGAGCAATGAACTGTAACTTTTAAGAAACTATGAGGAGGTTAATGGAACATTTTCCCCTCGCCTTTCATTTCTTAACATCCTTCCTCTATTTGTTCCTGTAACTTATTTTTTTAACTGTTCCAAAGCAATCAAAAATATGACTACTGTACTTTTCCATTAGATTTGCCCTAGAATCACAGAATGCCAGCTAGCGGCAAACACAGTGATGCCAAGATTTTTTTGTTGATTGTTTAATTGAAGACAACTGGGTACTAGCACAAGTATTAAAAGACCTCATTTCTACATCTGGCCATAGCAGCCAGTCAAAATCACTTCTTAAATTTTCTTGCTGTGCTTGATTAATAAGACCATATTTAGTAAGATCTTCTTAAGCACAAAAGAAGAGAAGGCAAAGTTATGCTTTGTCATTCTGAATAGGAATCAAATAACATAAGGAAAACACATGCCACTTTAAGGCACACATTCAAACGACACCCCACACATTCCACCCACTTAACCAAGACAGCCATGTCCGAATTAGTTTGTGCCAGGACAAGTTGGTACAGAATCAGCACAGATGAGCCAAAGGCTGTAATTTAGGGGCCATGTGACAGTCATGCTCTTCTTCCATTAACAATGAAAGAAATGCACTTGAGACACACTCTAACTGTGCTCCATTATGGAAAGCACCCAAAAATCATCTCACTAGAACAAACGAAGTCCAAGATGTTCTAAGCTAGCTATGACAACCTCAGCAGTGCTTACTATAAAGGAAATAGAATACTTGAACACAAAGTAAATAAGTTAATCTGTACCCAGAATATTTTAATAAAATATAAACACGATAAGCTATCAAAACAAAGACCCAAGGAACCACTGTGCAACCAAGATGTAGTTGTTGAATAGCATATTTGCCTTCCCATCACATTAGCAAATATAGTAAAAAGAAAAAAAAATCCTCAAGATTAACAACATAATCAAATTTTAATTATATGAAAAACCAAATTCAAACATGAATCAAACAATAAAATGTTAAATGAGGGCGTTTATTATAATAACCCTAAAGACAGTCAAAGTGCAGCCTAAAAGTGTTCTGGAGTTCATCTGCACTGAAATTCCAAAGCTGGTTAACTCAGAGCAGTCCCTCTTTTGGAGTTAGATTAGAACCAACAGTATTTCAATTGCCTCCAGGTTTCAGGGACAGTCTTACCAGACGGAAACAGAATGAATACTCCTGGCTCAGCCATGAATTGGTCTGATCTCCCTGCTATGGTTAAGTAGTGACTAACTCAAATGCTTACTATGTTCATTTCCTATCTTTTATCCCCACTACTCCTGCAAGGAAGCACTGCTAAACAGAGGCTCCAGGATCTATTAATATCATCCGTAAAAGTGCATAAAATAAGCCAAAGAGTGTCATCTACTACTTAAGCCCCAACACTACTCCACTCCCACCCCTAAACTCTCCTGGTTCCTCTCTTTTGTACCCAGTAGCCCTTTTCTGGTCTTTCTCCTCTCCTCTCCCAGCAATTCCAACTGGAGATTTTCCTCTCAAACTTAACTGTGGAACACGGTTATTTCATCATCAAAATAGAATGAAAATTCAAAGTTAACTGATAATTTTTCAACCTAAAAGTTTTCTTGCTGTTCTTTTATTTCTCACACCCAAGAGACTTTGATTATAACCAATGGCCAAGTAGCAAAAACACACTAACAGGAACTAGCCAAAATATCTATCATGCTTTGATAGCTTAACTTTTTTTGTAAGATTGTTTGTTGTTATTATTTTAAGCTGCATTTATAAACTATCTTTCCTGCTAGGAAAAGTATTCCCAGTTCTTAAGATAGACTTGCATTTACCCATAATTCATAGCATGGCACAAATAGCTCCCTGGCATCTGGGTGTTACACCTCCCACACAGGCCATGGTATAAACTTTATTGGGGTATTTCAATTTTTAACCTAACAAAAAATGTGGAATAACAGGTTGTCTCCCTATGAAGGAAATATCTAGAATAAACAGATGGGTGTGAGATCTGTGGAAGGAGGGAATTGTCTCTGGATCCAGAAATCACAGTTTGAGTTTAGAGGCAAAGTGCTTCCCCACCCCCACCCCAGACGCAGCCTTGCTGTTACCCACGCTGGCGTGCAGTGACGCGAATCTCGGCCCACTGCTACCTCCACCTCCCAGGTTCAAGCAATTCTCCTGCCTCAGCCTCCTGACTAGCTGGGATTACAGGCGTCCACCACCAAGCCCAGCTAACATACTGTATTTTTAGTAGAGACGGGGTTTCACCACGTTGGCCAGGATAGTCTCGATCTCTTGACCTCGTGATCCACCCGCCTCGGCCTCCCAAAGTGCTGGGATTACAGGCGTGAGCCACCGCACCCAGCCGACAAAGTGCTTTATGTGCAGGGAGGGCACAGTTTAAGACTATCTGTTGCAAAGAAAATACAAACACAAGGTAAATTAAGAGCCAAAGCAGTTTCCCCATGAGATTACCTGGAATCTACAGTCTCAGAACTACAGATTAACAAATGTAATCAATGGTACTGGGCTTTTCACAGTTTTGATGATGATAGCATGACCTCAGAGTCTAAAGGGACACTATTCCCAAAGTTCTAGTTAACGTCGCAAAAATCTAACCTAATTCTTACAGATTCAAATATCGAGGCTGCTGGTTTGTGTAAACTGGGCAAAATCCCTTCCAGGCTCTCAATTATGCCACGAGTCACGATGACAGAGGGTTCTCCTGGAATTTCTTACAAGGCCTAAGTCCCATCTGGATCGAAGTCATTTTGCAAACAGCAGCTCACCATCCTCAGGCCAAATTTAAAATCTATTTTGAATTTGCACCTTTCTGGGTGTGTTAAAGATTACAGATTATGTGAACAACGGCCTCCATACTTTCGATATCTATTTCTACAATGTTGTTTTTTTACTGTCTTGCTCTCCCCACTCAAAGTCTCCTCCTATACCAACCTACACTTCGAGTTCTATTTTGTAATCTGACAAATCAAATTCACAATAGGGGCAAACAGCAATACGGTTTGCTCAAGCAGGTTCAATCGAATGCATCACCAATTAAAAGACCACCGCGTAAACAAGGGCCACCGACCACAGGGCGGGCCCAGGGTTCACACCCCCACCCCCGGGCCCAGAACAAGCTCGCCGCAGCACCCACCTCTGCAACTCCTCCTCCTGGATCCTCTCCTCATCCCACACGAAGACGCTGGAGAGCGCCGCCATCAAGGCAGAGGCATGGCCAGGGCGGCCGTGCAGCCGGCGCCAGAGGCGGGAGAGGAGGACGCTGCGTGAGCTCTCGGAGTAGAGGCGTCCGTAGAGCTGTGCGATCTGCAGCGCGCGCCGCACGCGCAGGCCCGTGACGAAGCGGCACTGATTGGCCAGCAGCGCCAACAAGCCCCCGCCCCGCGCCCCCGCCAGCCAGGCGACCAGCAGCCTCCGCGGGAACATGCCGCCTACTGCGGGGCCCGCCACAAGCCTCCGGGGCCCAAGGAAGTAGCCCGGGAGGGCGCAGACGGTCGTCCGCAGCGTCCCCCTAACTGGCCGACCACGAACCCGTCTTACGGTCCCGCGGCCAGGAGCTGCCGCTCATCTCTCTCTGCAGCCACCGCTGAGGAAGAGTCTCCTCTGAGAGGAGAGTCAGTCATGGCAGCAGACGCCAGGACGGCTCAGCGACCGCTGCACCGGGCGCTCCTGGGCTCGGGCTGCGGATCAGTAGGTTGTCTCACTCCTCAGCGACCTCCGGCGGGCGCCGGGGGCCGGGATGCAAGGCGGGCGGACGTCAGCTAGGCAGACAGCTCAGGGCTGGCAGCAGGAAGGCTCCCGCGCGTTCCCTGTGTGCCACACGCGCAGCCCGCGCGCACCCTACCCTGTCTCCCCCGCCTGGGCACTGATTGGGCGCGACCCGGACTCCTGGGTGTTCATTGGAGCCACCAAGTGCTCGTCACCGCCCCCTCCCGCCCCTTCATGCCACGCTCTGAGGCCGCCTACTAGCAAGGTAGGTGGCCCGGCCGGCAGAGCCGTCAAGGGCGCCCTGGAGAGTGACCCTCGGACCCACCGCCGCCGCCATTTTCCGGCCGTCCCAGCCCCGCCCCGAGGAGAAATCCGCCGGGCGCCTGTTAGAATCCTGCGCCTTGTTCACTTGTTTTAAGAGGCGGGAACGCTAGCTGCATTCTCTTAATGATAAGAGTGTAGGGTGGGGGCGGGGCTCTGCATGTCTCTGCAGAGGCTGGGGGCTCTGGGTGAAACCGCCACCACAGAATTATAAAGAAAAATCAGAAAGCAAACACACAAGGGTCTGGTGGGCTGGTTGTGTTTCTCTGAAAGCCTTTCAACGTGCATTTTTTTTAGAAATTTTTTTTTTTTTGCCAGTTATATAGTTGATTTTAGAATGTTAAATATTATCTATTTAGTATACAAAGGTATTTTATGACAGTAGAGGAAATCTTAGGATCCAGATTCTCTGTGTAGTGGAAACTTTGGGTCCATAGAATGAATATAGCTTAATGTAATGATTATTGTAGTATTTAGTGTTTAGTTCCAACCTTCTTGTTCCTCACAGTGCCCACAAATCCCTTCTCTTTATTTCTGTATGATAACCTCAGATCTTACCCTTGAATTGAACAAGAACTGTCATGTAGGCGGAGCTGTTCTCCTCTTACCAACATAGATATTTCTGAGCCTAGTTTTGCTTTCTTAGGCCCAGTGCCTTTTGATAGATCCTTTGAGGTATACCTTTCACGTTCTAGCCTTTTCTCACTTTCACCTTTAGATTCTATCTAAACTATGCTTTTTAAAAAATTTTTTTAAGAGACTGGGATTCACTACGTTGCCTAAGTTAGACTTGAACTCCTGGGCTGAAGCAATTCTCCCACCTGAGCCTCTGGAGTAACTGGAACTATAGGCCTGTACTGCTGATCCCATCTTAAAACATGCTTCTTTTTTTTGAGCAGGAGTCTCACTCTGTCGCCCCAGGCTTCAGTGCAGTTAGTTAGGGGATCAGGGTTTACTACAACTTCCACCTCCCGGGTTCAAGCGACTCTCCTGCCTCAGCCACCCTAGTAGCTGGGACTACAAGGATGCGCCACCACACCTGGCTAATTTTTGTATTTTTAGTAGAGATGGGGTTTCACTGTATTGGCCAGGCTCGTGTGGAACTCCTGGCCTCAAGTGATCTGCCTGCCTCCGCCTCCCAAAGTGCCGGAATTACAGGCGTGAGCCACCATGCCAACCATTTCCTTTTTTTTTTTTAATCCTGTTGTTTTAATTTTTTTGTTGTTACTTCTGAAATAACATTTTACATTTGTGGTTGTTCTTGTCTTAAGCAAATGGGATTATATTTGGTTATGCAGATTTAGAAAGGACTCCTCCTCCTTCCTCAAAAATAATTAACCAGGAAAAAGCAGTTGTTTTCCTGTGTTCTGCCTTGGACATTCATTATAGTCTGGGTACAGCATTGTTTGTATCTTAAAAACTACTGTACTACTTTTGACAGTGAGGTGTTTTACTCATAGTTTAAAATTGCTGTTAATTGCTGTTAGTTACTGCCTAGAGATGACACTGCTATGAATAGCATACCTCATTTGAAGGCTTGATGCTTTTAGGCATGTACTGGTATTATCTCTTGGACAAGCCATTGCAATTGCCCTGGAGGACTGGCCAGGCAGAAGTTTTCATGTTGAAAAGCGGAGTAAAAATGACTCTGGGTGTAGGCCAATATAGTATCACTCAGGAAAAAGAGAAACACAGTGTACCTCTCCCTGGGAAGCAGTTTGACCAGGACAAAGCTCCCAGAAATGGAAATTTAAGCTTATTGATTTGGGAAACTCTTGGTGTTTGCCCCTCAGCCTTTGTGAAATGTATCTTCTTTTTAAAGGAGGGAGAGGTAGGATAGAGGAGAGACTTAAAGGCTTAAAATAATGTTCCCTGTCAACCATCTAATCACCTCCTTAGAACTAAGCAGGTAAGGCCAGCCTCCGTGGCTCACACCTGTAATCCCAGCACTTTGGTAGGCTGAGGCAGGCGGATCACTTGAGCTGAGGAGTTTGAGAGCAGGCTGGCTAACATAGTGAAACCCTGCTTCTACTAAAAATACAAAAAATTAGCTGGGCGTGGTGGTGGGCACCTGTAATCCCAGGTACTTGGGAGGCTCAGGTAGGAGAATTGCTTGAACCCAGGAGGTGGAGGTTGCAGTGAACCAAGATTGTGCCATTGTATTCCAGCTTGGGCAACAAGAGTGAAAACTGCTTCTCAAAAAAATAAAAGAACTAAGCAGGTAAATGTCTTCATGTCACAGAAAGAAATGATTGACTTGTTTAGAAACCAAGTTAGGTAGGGCTGTTTGTAGTTTGTAGTAAATTATCGACCTGAAGTGTCATTCAGAACAGAGAAAAGTATGTGATGATAGTTGGAAAATAAAACCCCAATGACATTTTCATATTTAACTAAAATATTCAGATCTCTTATTGTTCTTATTCCTTAGTCATATTTCACCCTCCTTCCTGTTTTACATCAATAACCTAAAGCAGAAAAGGGTCAGGCAAATCCCACTTTAATCTCTTCCATTCCCCTGCCCCCATAGAGTATTATTTTTTTAATTTAAAAAATTTATTTGTATTTGTTTTTTGTTTATTCAGTCTTGCTGAATTAAGCAGGAACCTCATAGAGGTGGGTTTTTTGGTTCATTTTTCTTTTGTTTCATTTTGTTTGAGATAGAGACTTGCTCTGTTGTCCAGGCTAGAGCACAGTGGCGTAATCTTGGCTCACTGCAACCTTCCCAGCTTCTGAGTTCAAGAGTCTCCTGCCTCAGCCTCCCAAGTAGCTGGGATGACAGGTGTGTGCCGTCACCCACACCTGGCTAACTTTTGTATTTTTGGTAGAGATGGGATTTTACCATGTTGGCCAGGCTGGTCTCAAACTCTTGACCTCAAGTGATCCTCTTGCCTCAGTCCCCCAAAGTGCTGGATTACAGGTGTGAGCCATCATGCCCAGCCAAATAATAATTTTAAAGAAAACTTAGATTTTATTGTGGTGCCACTATATACTGGGCACTCATTATGAATAAATTTTTTAAAAAACATCTTGTATTTGACCAGGTGTGGTGGCTTATGCCTATAATCCCAGCACTTTGGGAGGCCGAGGTGGGTGGATCACAAGGTCAGGAATTCAAGACCAACCTGGCCAAGATAGTGAAACCCAATCTCTACTAAAAATACAAAAATTTGCCGAGCGTGGTGGCGGGCACCTGTAATCCCAGCTACTTGGGACACTGAGGGAGGGAATTGCTTGAACCCAGGAGGCAGAGATTGCAGTGAGTCGAGATTGTGCCACTGCACTCCAGCCTGGGTGACAGAGCGAGACTCTGTCTCAAAAAAAANAGACAGTGAAAGAGATCTGATCTAACCAGTTTCACCTTGCTTCTGTCCTCGTTCATTCCTGGGCATAGGCTAAACTAACTTTGGGAGGAATTTAGTTTATAGTTTAAAACAAAGAGAACAGCCCTTTCCCAAAACAAGTCTCCTTGACTGGAGACTAGACTGCCTTGGTAGAACTAATAAATTAGCCACAAGATTAGAAATTATGGTTTAGGAGTCATGCAGCTGGAGGCTACAAGATTCTGACCCTCCCTAAACTGTTCCTAAGATCTGTACTTGAGATATTCTGCTGACCCTGCATTTGATGGATCAGCTGGCACCACCCAGATCAATAAACTGGTTAGTCTGAACTTGTGGCCCCCACCCAGGAACCCACGAACCAAATCAGTGCAAGAGGACAGCTTCAGTTCCCTATGAATTCATCTCCAACCCAACCAGTCAGCAGTCTGGACTCACTGGCCTTCCCCCACCCACCAGATTATCCTTAAAAACTCTGATCCCCGAATGCTCAGGAAGACTGATTTGAGTAATGATGAAACTCCAGTCTCCCTCACAGCGGGATCTGCCTCAGTTACTCTTTATTGCAGTTCCTCTGTCTTGAAAAATCGGTTGTCTAGGTACTGGGCAAGGTGAACCAATTGTATGGTTACAAATTTGGGGGTTCGTCTGGGATAGCCCTTGCAGCTATCCCATGATTCGGTAGCTCCCCTCTGGCGACAGATCCAGAAGCTAGCCCAGGCAGCCACATAGTTCTCTTGGACTAGGGGCTGACTCTGGCACCCTGTCTGCTAGTGGGGAACTGCCGACCCAATGAGCATGGACTTAATTGCAATGGAGAATGGTCTTGGGGAGACATCCCGTAACTGTAGCCGTATCACAGGGTATCTGTCTGTTGCTCCATGGTGAGGTGCTGGAGCTAGGTCATAGAGTGTCTGTAGTGTTGGGTAGTGCGTATCCTAGGTTCTGCCAATGCCTCCTTCCTTCTCCCCATGCAGCCCATTGGGGAGCATCTTGCAAAATTTAGAATCTTTTTATGGTTCCATAAAACAGAAGAGGGTGATTTTCTTTTGTAAAATGGTTTGACCCCCACAGCTATGGCACAGCGAGAAAGGTCATTTGTTCTTCCGGAAGCTGCAGAGAAAGGGAACCCGGAAACCTAGTATGCTGACAGAAAGGGTAAGAAATCTTTACGGCCCAAGTTTCTGCTTTCTCTCTCTCTCTGTGTAAATGGTAAATGTCGCTGTTTGCCTCTCCTGCAAGAGTTTAATTAATAGAAAAAAAAGTATCTGTGAGACTACTGTAATAGATTTGGTGCACTTTGTGCTAAGAATTTATCTTTCTGTAGTGGAGAGAAGGGTATCAAAGGATAGAACATGGGTTTAGGACCTCTTTAAGGCCACGTTTCAAGCCATCCCTGCAGGCTGGTTGGTTACAAACTTTGCTACAGGTCCCTGAAACCAATACCAAATGAAATTTCTCTGTCTTGTTTTGTGTCTTTAAGAGCTTAACCTCATGACCATGAGGGGATACTTTCTCTTGGTCTCCACCATCCAAGGACAGGAAATTTGGGGTTCATGTCAGTAGCCCTAAAAATTATCTCAAGCAGTTAAAAGCCTTTGCA